CGAATTGTAGTTACTGAGTGATTTTATTCCCAAACTTTCGTGGAGAACATGAATGAAATCCGGTAATCAGTTGGACTGTTGTTATCCATTGACATAACCATGCAAGTAATATTTTTAGTCAGTCCACAGGGCACCTAAATAATCCTGCAAAGTAAGTATGTCATGTACTCAGAGAACTTGTATTCACTTCACTACTGTCTCACATTTGGTCTGATAGGTGAGCTTAATTATCAAGAATAAATAAACATTTCCGCTGTTCCCAAGTAACTTGGTGCTTATATGGGATAGCAGATTGATATATGAACAGATGAACTATGGATTGTTACTAGCTGGTGATATGGCGATAAATGTAAATAAACCAACCACAAATGGAGTGAGTAAACTGAAGCCTACTATTTTGGTGATCATGATTGTAGACGCATTGACATATCCTCGGTGATTTTTTGAATCATACATTATTGTGTAAAATCCACTTTGGATGATACAGAAATATGCTTTTCAGCTCACGTTGTTATGTGTGGCTGCTTACGTGGAGCGGGCAGGGGAAAACGTAGCTGTCGTATGATGTTATTGGTCAAGTCAAGCAATACTTTGCGCCCAAATTTCAATTTCAACGTTGCTTTAAAGTACATAAGTGGCGATATCAGGACAAATATGTGGGTCAGTTCCTTTGAGTGCTGGCAACTCCGTTTCCGACGACCAGTTTATTTATGCTGAGGGAGCGTGAAGAAGGCTCATCGCGGATAGTCAGATTTTCAGCAGACTTGGGCTTGCTGGCTGCATCGTATCAACCTGGCGCTTTCTTATAACCTCCGTTTAATCCCTCACTTATATTCGCACATGTACAATGGCAAGGATTATGGTCTTCCTTCAGCGGTTGAGCAGCGTTTAAAGTAGCCTGGTAACCAACAAGGTGGGCTAGGCTAAGAAGCTGTCCATTTGCGTGGCCAAAGATCAAGTGTAAATTAATAGATAGCTGCACAGCTCACAAGCGTTTTTGAGTTGGAAACCAACAGGATAATGGGCTAGAAGTGGTTCAGGCACTAAGACTAGTTGGTCTCCTCGATCCCCATCATCTTCAAGTTGTACCTATCACTCGCTGAAATAACGTCTTTGGATGGGTCACACCTCCTTACGCTTTTGAAGTTCTCCACTCACATTAACGCAGTAAAAGTCTACCGATATTGGCATACGAGTAAAAGATCACCATTAACATAGTATTTTTGGTTTCTGCTGAGCGCTCGTCACTCTCCTGAAACGATGAGGATTGTCTAGCAATACTCATCATCCGGGAAATTATCATATACGGTGGTTGGTAGCACATCCACTTTCAACCTTGAAGAATGGTACTGGACCTTATCTTGTCTGGAGTGCCAAGCGATACCTTGACTAGATGAATAGATCTATTGTAGCTACTCTTACATAGCCCACTGGTGTTGGGTGATTACAAGCACTCAAAATGTCTGCTGTTTAAATTATTCTGTAGATAAGAAAGTCTTTGATTAAATGATAATATACACAGGACTAATTCCATGTATCCCACTTGTCTCTTAATGACTGAAGTTTTAAGACGGTCTTAATACGAATTTCTCTTTGTTAAAGTACCATACGATGGCAAGATTATGTGGGACTTGTGCGACCTAGTATTTGTTGGTGTCAGAAAATACAGACTGAGTGTTCTCGTAGTCGTTATCGCTCTTTTCTAATAAGCATTACTACAGTGTTCAGGAAACTTAGTAACTCATCTGAATAATCTTATAAGTGTATGTCGGTAGCACAGTGGTTAGGACTCTTGCTGACCATGCACATGGGCCGGGGTTCGATCCCCCGCCGGAGCACACGCGATATCAATGGTTGGCCTGCAAAATTTGGGCTACGGATATCACATGCTGAAAATTCCATACTTGTACCAAAAATACTGTGTGGTTTCAAGCTATAATCAAAATTTAAAATTTAAATTTGTTACTCGCATTTGACAAGAAAAAGAAATGCGGATTGGATCTCCTTTGTACGCCTTCATATCTCCCATTATCATAGTTCTGGACGAATCTGTAGTATTATAGCATACTGGTTTAAGTCAATCGAAGTTAGAGAGATGTCGAATGAAAGAAAGTCTGTACCTTACCAGTGACAGCCAGTGGCGAATAGAAGTACAGCAAAAGCTATGGCTGATTTCTGTTGTTGAGCCACCAAGAATCGATTGACAGTCATCTATGTTAACGCGTGAATTTTGAATGCCACAAAAATTAATTTATACTGTCACTACTACGATACGCGTAGATGTGACATTGTGACCTACCCTATACTGGTGGTCAGGCTACTTCTAACAACGCCGCGACCAGCCAAGGTAGATCACTTAATTTAGGGTTATTCAAGTGCGCATTAAAAGACAAAAGACTTGTAAATCCCTAGGCCATTGCAGACCTACGTAGTAGCAACTGCATATTGCGCATGGGAATATTCAGGTTTGAAAGTTTCCAGTCATTTGAAGAAAGTGGGTTTTATCCGTTAGTCTCTTTCGTACAGTAAGATGCAGAAATAAAGCTTTTATGAGGAGACGGACATATCAAGTCGAGGTACGACTGCCTCCTGAACTATAGTGTTCACGAGGTCTTGTTAGTGAGCTAGTAAGTCATCTTTGACAGTACGCACCCACTGGGATTCGAACCCAGGACCTTCCGGTTACAAGGCAAGCTCGTATACCATTCAGCCACTGGGACCCGATTCAATGGCTCATGAATTCTAACTCCTACCAATTCGTGATTTAGCGCGACCCCAACCATTGTCATTGGTGGGACATCCATCCACACACGTGACATCTAATTGGACCTCACTGGTCACGACTTCTCACTAGAACTCCAGGAAACTCCATCCTGTCCAGTACTCCCTGGTTTTCAATGGTTCCCTAACTGATATCAATCCGTTATCAACTCGTAAAAACATATCTAACCCTTACAAACCAAACTTTAGAAAGTCATCTTTATATTAGATCTAAAATATGAAACCCATGCAGGGCTAAGACAGGTATTTATGGCTGTCTTTTAGTGGCATTCAGTCCTTTGTAACTGCAACCATATCGGTCTTCTTTTGCGATGTCGAGGAAGCTTGTGGTCTAGGCTGCAGAAATTCTTCCCCGATTATTAGTTCATTCATCTCTGCTACTTATGATCGAAAAAGAATCACAGTCAACTGATATTAGAGGAGCCAGAAGGAAAGTGATTGTATTCTGGTTTTGCATAAATCAGCATATGTTTAAAATGACCAGGGAGCATATTTCGTGGCAGAAAACATAGGCACGTAAGGGGGAATTGTCATATGTGTCAAAATGGTGTACAGTTGCGGCGAAATACAAACTCAACACTTTGCAATTTCAATCCGTAAAAGTTCGCCCCATTCTTGTTTCATGCTTTCCGGGTTGTCCCACAATGACCTTTCATTTCTCATCACCTCAAATTTATCTGTCGTTCTATTGCCCAAGGTTCTTACAGAAGACAACGCACCATTCACCACTTACAAAATCTTGTATGTAGCTCACCTTACACAATTCTTCCTTCACCCTTTTCGCGTTGTCCAAATGTTGCCTGGCGATTGGGAAAGTGTGCTCTCGTCTGTTTAGTCAGTCAGTTGAGTAACAACGGATGTAAACATGGGGCAGATCGTCAGTAATAAGTTCGACAAATTGCCTTCTAAGGGACTTTCGAAACCAAAGGTGTTTGCGAGGTCTCTGAACACTGCCATATTGGAATCCAACCTTAGTGCTATTTTTCTAAGGAGCGTATTTTGAAAACAGATTTTCAGGAATTTCCATTTCGATTGAATTATCAAATCTGTTAGGTAATGGAAACGTTGTTAATCTGTAAAACTTTACGATTCCCGTTGAAATGAATGCACTCAGGCACTCACTTAATCATTGCCTCAACGAACCTCTAAGTACCGACAACAAGAACATTTAGTTTAGGTGAAAAATGCTCTGAATAGAAGTGAATTTAAGTAAACAATGTGCCAAGTATATCTAAGTAAAATATTCTCAGATTTATCTGCCCGGTGTGGCCGAGCTAGAGACTCTGAGAATGTGGTTATTGCCCACAATACTGGTAGCATCACTAACGGCCAGATTCTTCACAAATAATTGTTCCCTTGGCTGGCTTTCATGGTATTTGTTGCTGTAAATCCGCAGAATGATGCTCAATAAGGAGCTGAAACTGAAGCGATCCTCGTTGTAGTTAAGATTCACATTTTCGGTTGTCGTTATTCGCTGTCAGAGGTCAAGACCACTTCATTTACTGATGGAGAATTTTTAACCGAGGCTAGACAATAATTCGTCAGAGTGCCCCTCAGGGTTAACAGAAACTACTTAGGACAGTTGGAAAGAAAGAACGTGTGGTGATAGATCAGGGGCAGGAAACCCTGTTCCACCACCAGGAAGCTGGTTAAATGTCGTCAGTTAATACAATACTAACTCGTAAAATTAGTACAGATTACTAAAGAAGTCAATTCATTTAAACGTAATCAGGATGTTCACTTACCTTTTAAATTATTTTTTCTTGAAAAATGTGAGATGGAGTTGTCTTTTGAAATACTGCATTTTCTGCATAAGGTGTAATAGAAGCGAAACCTATATTATAGTACTAGTCAATGTTTCAATTTCTCCCCTTGAAGGAAGACATCCGGGGGTCAACAGCCTGGGCCAGGAGATTCATGAGTTACAGAACTTAAACATTAATGAAGCACAGTAAAACCGTTATTTCAAAAAACTGCACCCCCGCACTTTTTAAAAATCCATGTCGTGGAATAAACTCTCTCTTGCACAGTTCGCGTTCTACTTTCTTTATCTGTGTGCTTGCTGGTTGTCTGCTACCAAGGTTCAATAGTTTTGTTTGTTGCTACCACGTTACTAGACTTAGTGTTTTGTGTCTCTTTAAGTTTTAGAACATGTAAGTACACTTGAAAAGCAACTTCAGTATATAAGATTGAAAAACTTTGGCTTTCTAGTTCCTCACATGTCTGAATTTGAATGTGAGTTGCAAGAACTTCTTATCGAAATTGATATGCTGATTGAAAAAAAGAAATGCGACTGGCAGAAAGACCTACATGCTCTCGAAAAGAAGTTAGCAGTGAAAGTTAAAGAAAATAACAGGCTTCAAGACCTTGTTGGTGAAAAAGAAAAAGATGTAAGAACTATTTTTCAACTAATGTTATCACAGTTACAAAAAGCCATCATGCGTCTTAACTTATTGGAATCTAAACATTCAAACACTGATTGTGAGAAACAAATTGAAGAGCTGAGTTGTAAGATCGATGCAATGAAGTCGAGTTACACTAATCTTCAAAGGAAATATCAGAAACAATTGATTGCGGAAAAAAGTGACTTTTCGACGCATCTACAGAATCTTGAGAAAGAAAATGAAGCACTTAAATCAGATTACGAAAGATTGAGGTATTTTGCTATAAACTGTTGATACTTATGTTCGTATATATATAAACAATTTTTGAGGAACTAGATGTTAATATCGTATAAGATCCCAAGTTGAAAGTTACCATAAATGGTTGAAACTTGGTGACTAAAGTTCAAACGCTTTCACCAATGAACCACACAAACAGAATTATGATGTGATTTGAAAGTTCATTTCTAATGAGGATCGTAATTACAATCATTATCCTTAATATTCATTATACTAATCGGTATCACATACCTTTTCCAGCTGTAAGAGAAAGACTGGATGTGTTTTGGTTTCTTAGTTTTCGGCTTGACTGTAGACTATTACTAAAGTGGGTCGAGACTATTCTCAGTGGCACTAATTTATTCAATCTTTCAAACTCCCTAAATCTTCGTTAATCGCGTAGTTATTCTCTACCCCATATATTTCTGTTTGTTCTAGTTTCATTGTATTTTTCTCCTCTACCTCATGCATGTTTTACAAAGTGCTGCACCTTTTTGTTTTAAGTTAGTATCTCAGTCAGTCAATCATTAGCTTGCGTAGTCTGTAAGTACCGATAAGTAAAGAAAATCAAAATACCGAAATTCTTAAACGCGTGCTCTCAAATACCAATATATTTGAATTGTAAGTGGTTGAAATCGTTTCAGTAGAAATTTTATAAATTATATGGCTGTTAACGACTGAGCTAGCAGCATAATGGGAGCGCGAAAATGGCAGTTGTGGCTGCTTGGATACATATCAGTTAAGGGAGTGAAATGCCGTAAGCATCTGGAAAAAAACTAATACTTAATTACCTTAATATTAACTTTTATGTTAGACCTAATTATACTTTGGCAAGAGGTGCCCTAAGGAATATCTTTTCTTCTCGAAGTCAGAGAAATATTTACTGTTTTTTTAACCCTACGACACAGCTGTCAGGTGGACATGTACGTTCTTTCTATAAAGTTGATGGCCTAGGTGATGTGTCAGCCTCCACAGCTAGTGCAACTATGATCATTTATCCAAAAGTAAAGCTCTGAGTTTAAATACAACCAGTCTTTCCACAGTAATGGAGAGACTGTTAACGTCCAGCTACTGATCTTTAGGCTACAGAAATTGTACGAGAGGGAAACTGATGCACGAATATACGAAAAGTGTTCTTAGTAGTGCCACTCCAAACCAACTTGTGTTTTCAGTGAAAATAATGGGAAAGTGTAGCGGATGTTAAACAAAATCCATACCAACCACAAGGTGAATAGAAAATCTAAACAATAGATACTTATCTACCTTCTTTATACCTCAAGGCACTTGGACATTTTACTATTTCGCGATTTTCGCACATTATTTTAAATATTTTCTAAAATAACTGAGTAACAACTATGTGTTCAAGAATATAGCACATATTAGCATAGTGATTGGATATTTTTTTAAATGTGTGGAATACTAATATAGTGTATACTGTAAAATGGGTTTAAACGACAAAGTTTGCATACCGTATACGCTAGTTTCCATGCTTCTTGATGAGTGTAGAGGGGAATTTTTTAGTTCCACTAGCGCTGATGTCATGAAGAGATTCAGCTTCTGTTAGACAGTATAGCAGTTCACTTAGTTGATGTTTATTTATTTAAGAATTACTTTGTTTAATTTAGACCTAATTGTTCTTCGGTGCCCAGAAGGTCACTACAGTATTGCCATTCTATTTCTGTGTTTTACGTTTTTGTGTGCTGTTGTGAATTAAATATTCTTTTCAAACCTCGTTGAATTGTCACGTATTTCTTCATTCTCGTTTGTGTCCTTGTATTTGATGTTAGTTGCATATATATGTGATAGATCAGGTATTTTGTGGCCTACACGCTATAAAAATAAGCCACCAGATACTTAGAGACCATTCAATGTCGAATCTTGCTCAACCGAGATTACTTGAAGTTATAGATAGATTAATATTAAATAGTATTTTATTTGTTTATTATTCCATTGCGTTTCGAGTGGAACATTTGGCTTCAAAGACACATCTCCACTTTGTTCTGTTTTCTGCCGTTCTCAACATCTGGGTCCATGATTGTTCTTAATCACTCATCTCCTCCAAATCGCACGATCTCCATATCACCCTCACACCGACGACCCACTAGTCGCTTCCCACTGAGATTCCATGCCAGCAATGTCCTGCTTGGCGAGTGATGTCATTCGACGGTCTTCTCAACGTATGCCCGATCCATCTGCATTTTCTTCTACATATTTGTTGGGCGATTGGCTCTTGCTTGTTAGTTTGTTCCCAGTCAAAGTTTCTTGTTGCTAACTCTTTCTGGCCGACCGGCTATTTAATCTTCAGTATGGAGCCAGCGGAGGTGGCAGCTGTTGACAAAAGTCTGTAACTTGTTGGAAATTCTTTTCTTGACGCACCGACCAAGTTTCTGATCTGTATGCAAGCAGTGGCTGACTTCAAATTTGTGTTGAAAATCCGAATCTCGTTCTTTGTGTGGAGGAGGGGGAGTGCAGATTTCCAAACTGGTTTCAGAGTGGTGAAGGCGTATTTTGCTTTTCTGATTCTGGCTAGCCAGCTTTGACATCTTCATTGGTTCCGACAGCCTGTGGTTGAAACCGTGCTTCCTAGGTAAGTAAAGGAATTAACCTCTGTCAAATTTATCCCGTTGATGTTGATTGGTGCTGGTTGTTGTTGCTGTCGGCTGGTTGGTTATCTTCATCACATATGTCTGCTGTATGTTCACCTGGAGTCCTGTCTTCATCGGCTGCTTCTTCAGCCAGTTTGTTGCTTTTTGCCTGTGAGTCTTCGAGTTTGTGTGACATTAAACATGTATCATCTGCGAAATCCAGATTTTCTAGATGGAGTCTTCTTATCGGTCGTCCCACGTATTCCTGTCTTCTCACTCCCCACATTCGTCCACCTAATCCAGTCTACCACAATTAAGAATATTTATAAAAATTATAATAGCTAACGAAATGGACACCAGAGGTACAAATGAGTAAAGATGAATGAAGACATGCCTATTTTCGAAGGTGGTTTCCTGTATCTCTGTATGTGTATGTGTGTGTCCACGTTTCTTTTCCGCTACATCACTGAGATTAATTATCGTCTATTCCTTAGAAAAATTTGTGTTGTCTAAATTTGTTTTCATCTTATAACATAATTTCGTTGTATACACATTTAGGCAAAAGAATGAACAAACAATTTCATCATTGAGACAACAGCTAGTTGAAGAGAAAAACTGCATCCTTAGTATCCAGAGACGCTGTGATGAACTTCAGTCTCAACTTGAAAGTAAAGCGAAAGAAGAGGTGAATCAAAAGAGCACCACTGAAGAGTTAGAAAAACAACACAAATTAACTATTGATGGACTTGAGAAACAGTTAGAAGAACAAAAGCATACAATAAAACTTCAGGTTTGTTAAACTAATTCCCTAAATAATTGTTATTATTATTATTTTTAGGCTGAAGAATTAATGATTGCAAAGACAACACTTAAAAACAAGACTTCTGAAATTCATCGTCTTTCTCATGAAGCTGAATTAAAGAAAACCGATTTGATTAATTCTCAAAAATCTGTTAAACGATTAGAAAAAACAGTGGCAAGGCATTTAAATCTACTTTTAAATCAAAAACAGAATTCAGCATCTACTTCACCGTGTAAAAGTACAGGTGTCATTTCACCTAGTGATTCATCATCTGTTTTACCGCGACATTCAGAACAGCCTTCGGAGGATCAAGAAGAAATAAATCAAAAAGTTCGATATTTAGAAAACCAGTTGAATGAAGCTAACAATGCACTGATAGAAAAGATGCTAGAAATTAGGTAGGCAGTATAATCATCACTCTTAAATCCAACTTGTTGTTTAATCTACTGAATGTCTACTTCATCTTTGCTTGGGACTGCTCAGCAGTACAGACCCACGATCCCGCCAGGGACAGAACCAAGGATTTACTCACTAATGGCATTGGCTGGCTGTCGCGCTATACATTTCGCGAATTAATGGGCACTTGAATTCCGTCCCAGTGGCTGGATGGTCAACAAGTTCGCTTTGTAACCTGAAGGTTCTGGGTGCGGACTGCCGAGGATTTTCAGACTAGGACGAAACATTTCTTCAGTATTCTCTGGTTTTTAATGGCTCACTAACTGAAGTTAATTTTTTGAAAAATCTGGGAATCAGTCTAATTCCTGAGAAACAATACTTGTAGAAGCATCCACTAGTTTATGTCAAGTGTCTGGTCTAAAATTTAGAGGCTTCATCATTCAGGTTTTATTCAGGTAAAATCGAAGTGCTTTTTATTAAGGAATTCATACAGATTTTAACGTTATACTGAGATGTCCCTCAATATTTTGTAGGATAGATTCTTAGGAAATGATAATTATCTTAGCTATATTGTGGAGCTGGTATGCCTAATTAACTTAATAAACTAATTAGTTTATTTTGATGCAACCAAGGAGATTATTACATAACCGTTTTGTGTTAGAAGTAGAGATGTAACTCATTGGTTCAAGCATTCGCTGCTTTTTCTCACAAAAGTGAAAAGGCGAATGCGAATGTCAGACTGGAAACCCCTGATTCCGAGGCTACAGTATTCATGGGCTGCAGAATCCGAAACGATAGAATGGCTCTTGAAGTTGTTTAGGTCAGCGTCAACTTGGTCCGAGGTTCGATCCCCGGCCGACGCACGCCTAATATCAATGGTCGGCCTGTTAAATTTCGGCTACCGATATCATATGCTGGAAATTCCATACTAGTACCAAAATAGTGTGTGGTATAAAGCTATAATCAAAGTAAATAAAACTATAGTAATGCTGCTCCAGTGAAAGACTCTGGGGATGGTCCCTTGTGACAATCACCTACGTCGGTGTAGGTATCCAGGAAGTATCCCATTCCTTGAACAACCTATCAGATATTGTGCAGCCCATTGCTCGTTGCCCATAATGTATCAAATGTTTGTCTGAATAATAATAATGAGTTTTAGCTGTTAGGTTACAGGTTTATACCTTACCCATCTGCTTCAATCTGAACAGTCAAGTTACACAGTTGTGTTCTAGATTGCGGGTCAGCTGAATTTCTCCTCAGTGGAGACATACTTCTGTTTCATTCAATGGAAGGTCTCCATATGATATACTTTCTAGCAGTCTTGTCATCTAGCTTAGCCTAATTCTTGTGGATTGCATTCTCAAATCTGAATTAGCTTTATGTATTGACTGTATATTCTTACCATGGTGTATTTGACATATTTGGTGGATAAGATGAATGACACGCTTGTATGAGCCCAAAATATATATATATATATATTCGTCGAGTTTCTAGGTCAACTAAATTGACGGTATAGTAGGTGGTTAGAAATCATGATCACTCATTGCTTATAATGCACAAAATATGTTACAGTTACTGAGAGAATTACTACAATTGCACGCTCTGACCAAGAGACTTTATTGTGTCTTAAAAACTAGATTCTAAACAAACTATTTATTTTATTTCTTTGCATTCCGATTGGAACTTAGGGTTTCAAAGTTCAGCTGTGGTATTAAGGCACTCAGGCATAACTCAACCCCTCCGCCTCTTACAGTTTGTCAACTCGTGCATGTTACCTATTCTTCTTTCCTGTCCACCCTTATTCTTTCCTGGTTTGCTTAAAAAGGACTATGTCACAATTCGTAGAATGCTGAACACTGTCAACAGGGTGAGTCGTGTCCCGGTGAACCACATAGTTAACGTCGTTGTCGATAGGCACTTGACATCGAGTTATAAATTTGCTGAAGGGATTTTGTCTAACTTGGAGCATCACCTTTCACTTAGCATCTTCTCAGGTAAAGCAAGCACTAACTTCAGGAAACTGTATGCTCGCACGTCTAAGGATAACAATTCTATGATACCGTACTTGGGACATATTTAATGTGATGAAACTGGTGTCAGGCAAGAATTAACTAGCCTTTTTTCATCTAGTAAGTAAACAATTTCCTCCATCCATCCTTATATACCTTCAAGTTTTACTTTTATTATTTCTATTATATTTATGGTTCTGTTGCTTCTTTGTTTTACTCTCATAATTGCAAACACCAACTTATCTCTATGACTGCTGTAATCTTTGTTTTTCCCCTCACCATATCATGTTAAGAGAACATTATATTCAATATTTTTAAACATGCTAGGATTTTTATACCGCATCGACAATGCTGTGTGGAACAAGCCCACGGCAATTTTCACTTGTAATTATCTGCAAAAACAGTCTGTTCACTGAGAGACAGACTCATACTGTTGCTAGCCATGCAGCATTTAAAGTCACTATGTACAAATAAGGTCATCGCACAATCACAAAAGTGCATCTAATTCGATATAAAAGTAGTGAAGCATTCACAAAACTATAACCTAACATAATATAATATAAGAAGGAAAACACTGTATCTACAGACATATCACAGTTGGGAATTAGGCAAAGATCAAGTAGAACAAAGGGACAGGCAGGGAGGGCAGGAGTGGGGGAGGATTATTGACTGACTAGTTCCAACCTAGAACTTTGCACAGATGTGCAGCAGTTCCAGTTTCCACACTCCATGTCCATGTAGCACACACAAGAAGAGAGAAAAGGAGAGGTAACAAACAGAAATGTGGGGCAAAAAGAACAGTAGTAAAGTGGAAGAACAATAGAAGTTGACTGGATATTATATATATCACAAAGAGTGAATGTGGGCAAGGATTATGTACACTGGAACAAGAAGAGAAGTGAAACGAAGTGGGGATCAGAGATAAAACCAAATCACTAGCAGCGCCAACAACAACAACAAAAACAGTGATGATGATGAAATTACAAAAATCAACTAGAAAACAGTCATCATCTGACATTACTATCGTTATCATTGTTATTATTCCGATTCTTCCTATTCGATGGACAGGGTGCTGCCGTTAACATTGGTCGATTATTCGTCAACGTTGTCAATTGCAATTGTTGATAACCTGAGGCAGTTGGAATGTTTTGTAAATCTGTCACTAGCTTGACATCTTTAGCCATCACTGTAACACGTTTAGCGTGAATTGCACATTGTTGAGCCGACTCAAATAAGCTCACGAGGAATGCTTCAGCGGCTTCTTGTAAGGCCAGAAAGCATATGGCTTGCCAACGAAACGTTAAGTATCTCGGACCAAGTGACGTCGCCATAATATAACGGATATATCGAGAGAATGGCAGCTTCCTTCCTTATAAGGAGGTTTGTACTCCGCTGGTACGTGGCTATCTCTCGCAAAGCCCTAGTGCAGCACGTTTCTTTGGTCGTTCCGTTTTATTATTCTCATTATCATTATTAGTATTATATTTTCGTGAAGCATCCACTCCTCGACTGGCTCGTTTCTGTTCCCTTCGCACTAACTGTTCTTGTAGTTGTCGTCGTGAATTACGTGTTTTCGATGGTGGTCCTGGTGGTGGTAATGCATGTGCTGACGCTGACGGCTTACCTCCATCACCTCGTCTACGTGGAATAGGACGATCACTGAGTTGTGGAGTATCCCCCCCTTGTGGTTAACATACATCCAATCCGTGCCTTGACGCGCTGTTGCTATTTTCTTCGGCTGAGACAGTTTCTTAAGCACAGAAGGACGGGATGAACTGACATTGGACTCGAGATCAACAGACAACGATCGATTTGATAGGTTCAACTGTTCTGGCACCGTCGCTGTTTTCTTTTTCTTGATACCACCACCTTCAGCCAGTGGGATGTGTGATGTTTCCAAGTTTAGCTCATTGATAGCCCGGCCTATTCAAGTACGACAAAGGCTCTACCAAACGGGCTTTCAATGAGCTAAACTTGGAAACATCACACATCCCACTGGCTGAAGGTGGTGGTATCAAGAAAAAGAAAACAGCGACGGTGCCAGAACAGTTGAAGCTATCAAATCGATCGTTGTCTGTTGATCTCGAGTCCAATGTCAGTTCATCCCGTCCTTCTGTGCTTAAGAAACTGTCTCAGCCGAAGAAAATAGCAACAGCGCGTCAAGGCACGGATTGGATGTATGTTAACCACAAGGGGGGGATACTCCACAACTCAGTGATCGTCCTATTCCACGTAGACGAGGTGATGGAGGTAAGCCGTCAGCGTCAGCACATGCATTACCACCACCAGGACCACCATCGAAAACACGTAATTCACGACGACAACTACAAGAACAGTTAGTGCGAAGGGAACAGAAACGAGCCAGTCGAGGAGTGGATGCTTCACGAAAATATAATACTAATAATGATAATGAGAATAATAAAACGGAACGACCAAAGAAACGTGCTGCACTAGGGCTTTGCGAGAGATAGCCACGTACCAGCGGAGTACAAACCTCCTTATAAGGAAGGAAGCTGCCATTCTCTCGATATATCCGTTATATTATGGCGACGTCACTTGGTCCGAGATACTTAACGTTTCGTT